GCTAAAGATAAAGAAGAAAAAAAATAGCATGTAAAAAATCACCATGTGTTTTAATCTGACAGAGTTTATTCAATAGGAAAAGTTTACTTAGTATATATATAATAAATTCCATTATGGTTCAATTTGAGGAAATCGCTTTCTTTTTACAGTTTAATTAAGTCTGAACTCTCCATATACATACACACACTAAAACAAAAAATACCAAAATTTTCAATAGTTTTCACAATACAAACCTTTTCTATAACCCGCAACAACGAAACACCTGAGTGGTTGGATATCTGAAAAGCTCCTAACCTGCAAAACGTTGCAAGTCCAGTTTTCTCACTTCCTGGAACACACACTACTCCTTTGAAGCCCAAAGCACCCAGACTGGGCTCAAGTATTTCTCTGAAGTACACAAAACTGACATTCTGTAGACAAATGACATCTGGGTGCATTGCTTTCAGTCCTTGGGTCAACTCATCTGTATAGGCTTGGTTGTTATCACCTCTGAGTTCAATGCTGCAAGAAACAATCGTGAATGTTCTTTCTTGAAGAGCAGTTCTTAATTCAGGGTTAAGAGAAGGATTAAAAATTACCTTCCTGTTCAAGAAAAATGGAGAACAATCTTTTTCTGTCTGCTGTGATTCAAACTGAGAAGTAACTTTCAAACTTTCAGAATATCTGGATTCTTTTTTTTCTGCTTCGTCCCTTTCAGTAATATAAGAACTGAGTGGTTCAGACAGTTTCTGTTTTACATCAGAAGCACTGGTTTCAAGCGATCCATTGATAGTGGGAGAAGTAAATGCATCTTTAACTTCTGTATCAGATTTTGCCTGGGTCTCCACTTTTCCTACTTCACTAGAACCCACAACTATTGTAGTTTGTTCTCTTTTTGTATGCACAAGAGGCTCTTCAACTGAAACACTTTTATTATTTTGACTCACCCCAAACGATTCAACAACAGCTTGATCTTTTGATGCTGAATTTTCCTGATCGTCTTTCTTTACAACTGCATCATTCTGCTCCACAAGGTGTCCTTCGGTGTGCAAATTCTCTCTGCATGCTGTTGTAGCTGTAGATGGTTGGCTCGTGCTTACTCCTGAAGTATCCTTTTGATTTTTGGGCAAGTTCATTTTATCTGATTCTTTGGGGTCTGTTATTTTCACTTTTTCTTTAGTTTCTGATAACTCTTTTTCAGAAGTTACAGAAAGAATCTTATTCTCATTTTCTGGTAAAGATTTAATCACACCTGTATCCATTATGCTTTCGTTTTTCTCATCACTATTTTTTACCTCTTCAACCACATGTTGATCTTTCAAAGAAGCATCCTGATTAAACTGTTCAATTTCCTTATCTTTAAGCTCTTTAGAACCAGGATTAACTTTTGTTAACTTCATATCTTCAGTAACTTCTGCTTGTAGCTTACAAGGAATATTGTCCAACTTTTCATCAATAATAATTTTATTTTTAGCCAAGGGCATCTTATCTGATGAACTATCAAAGTCCATCTTGTCTGATTGATCTGACTGAGGACTCGCAGAAGATACTGTATTTTTTAGATCTTTTTCTTCTGATGGTTTTCCTGCAGAGGCCTTTTCTTCTACTGTTTCTTCATACTCCATTTCAGAAGTTGCCTTACTCGTTTCAACTTTCTCTTCATTAATTTCTTCCTTTTTCCTAACACCCACTTTTACTGAGTTTTCATGTTTTGCTTTCTTTTGAGGTTGTTGATGAGACAATTCATCTTCAGATGTTTCATCCAGTTTACGCTTTATATTTTCTTCAATTGAATCAATTTCCACCTTGCATTCCATATGTGTTTCTGCTGTCATTTCACTTTCTTCTTCTTCTCCATCATCTTCTGTTTTTGTCCTTCCTCTCTGTCGAGCTCTCAAAGTCCTTCCTCGAGGTGTACTGCCTTTAGAGGCACGAGTGGTTTGTCTCGTAGCCCTTGTTTTGCGTCTACTAGAGGTTTCATAACTTTCTTCTTCACCACTTACTGACAAGTTCTGATCACCTTCCTTGATAGGAATGTTTTCATTTTCTTCTGTTTCTACAAACTGATCTCCTTGCCCTTTTTTTGATTCAGCTCTCCTTCCTCTACCAACATTTTGTTTTTTAGCTGGTGTCCTGGATGTTTTTCTACTTCGTGTTCTGGTTTTTACTTCTACTGGAGTATCTGATTCATAATCATCATCTTCCACACTGTAATCTTCTTCGTCTGGTTCCTTTTTTCCAACTGATGTTGCATCCTCTCCTTCACTTTCTTCTTGGTAATTTACTCTGCTTGTACTTCTCCGCACACTTTTCACTCTGGTAGCTGGTGACTCCTGTTCAGCTGCTGGGGATGCACTTCTTTGGCGGGAAGTTCTTCTATCACGGGTCTTTCGAGGCTCTTCTGCTACTACTGTTGCTGACTGAGCTAACGTACAACTTCTTCGAGGCCGCCTGCCTTCTGGAGTAGATAATTCCTCTTGTGTCGGCTTGGAAGATCGTCGAGATTTTACTTCCTGCAAAAATGAACAAAACTTAACTACTTGGAAAAAGTAAATCTGAAAAGACAGTAAACTGGAGAATTTTAATCAAAATCTTTCATTGCACTAAGTTGTTAATATGTCATCACATTCTTTTCACTGATTAATCAAAATTGTTTTATTTGAAATGGACTTAAATATCATCAGCAATGAGTAGTACTCGCAGGTTGATAGGCGAGAACTTTCAAATAAAATAAACAGGTTATTTTAAAATTAAAGTAGAATTATAGCTAGTTGAATATATAAATATGATGTACTACAAAATAAAAACGTAATTTTGTAGCTAAAAAACTTAACAAAATGGTATTATTGTCTTATCATGAAAGTACTCCATAAATAATCACAAATTAGAAGTAAAAAAATTTTGTACTGAAAAAGAATGTTCCTGCTCAATATAATGATTTTTATATCAAGCTCATATAAATAAAAATGTAATTTTTGAGCTGAAAAACTAAACAAAATTGTATTATTTGATAGAAATATATTAGTAGAAATATAATCAAGTTTTTGCAAAAAGTTTGTGTTGTAGTTATATTCCATGTGTGAAAAATATCTATCACGCTTTCATAACTATACTTTGAAACTATATATTGTGGTTTAAACAATAATGGAAACCACCACTGATAAAAAATACATAACACAATAATTATAGATTACTATCACTACTCTTAAGATGTAATAAAATTAAAGCTCAAGACTTATTTTACTAAAAAATAAAATGTTGTGAATAATTTAATACTAAATTATAAAAAAGCAGAGATTGACTAAAACTGCAAACAAACTCAACAACAATGTTTAGTACTGTTAGCTTAAAACAGGGATCAATAATGTAATGTCATTTTCATAAAGGCATAACAAATGCCCTGTGGCAAAAATGTTTAAAAGCTAGTGTTGTTCTTTTGCTCACACACACACACACAGTGAGTTATGTGATACTGCAAAAATAATGGTACCAAACATTCAAGATTATTGAGTTACATCATTTTCTATCTCCAGAGTAGCCATTTAGATCAAAAATGCTGGGTGTGTCATTTTATAACACCTGTTGTACGGTTTGTTTGTTTTTGAATTTCGCGCAAGGCTACACGAGAGCTATCTGCGCTAGCCGTCCCTAATTTAGCAGTGTAAGACTAGAGGTAAGGCAGCTGGTCATCACCACCCACCACCAACTCTTGGGCTACTCTTTTACCAACGAATAGTGGGATTGACCGTCACATTATAATGCCTCCATGGGTGAAAGGGCGAGCATGTTTAGTGTAACCACCTGGCCATGCCGGCAGTTTGTTTCAATGGATTGCACAAAATTGTAGTAGATGAAATTGTTTGAAATTTCAGATGAAAAAACTTTTACAGAATATGCAGCTTTTGCAAATAAAAATATTTTAATTTTGTATGAATTTGTAATTTGGAAAATTAAAAAAAAGTATTTTTCTACAAAATGTTTTACCTTTGTAGTAGATTTCATTGAATGATTGTTATGTTTTCCTACATTCTTGTGAAACTTCCAAACAAATTTTGATATTTTAAAAGTTGTATATTGCATCTTTTATTCAATTTGAAAAAATTGCAAGTAGTTTTACTCTGTTTATGATAAAGTATCTTTTTACCATACTACAAAAGAAGGCTACAATTTTTTTTAATGTTTCTCAGAAGGTTTCATTCAACGTGTGTATGTAATACATTTCAAACCTGTTCTATAATCATTTATAATTTTCTTTTACATTTCATCTTGATGATAATTCTTTTTGCCAATTAAAGCAGTTTCTTACCAATAAGGTTTAATGTAAACGTGGCCTAACAAGCAACGGTCTCATCAGTGAAATAAAACTTGATACAGTCAAGTCGAAATGAACTAACTAAGCCTAATAATCCTCTACTTCATATTTTTCTATCATACTTTAACTTCATCATTCATATCAATTTTATAATGACAGAGCAAGCTTTTCCCAACATTAAACAAAAATCAGGACTGTAATTGTGGCAGAAGTTGTTCAAAAACATATTTTCATCTAGCAACATGTCACCAAGCTAATCTTTTATCACTTGGCTCCTACTTCTCAATGAATTTAAAACAATATTTGTTTAAAAAGTCCTTAGATCACAAGCCTATATTTTCTCAAAGTTGAGGTATAGATAGTTACATCACACCATAACAATCAAGGTTGAGAAAATGATTGCCTAAAATCAATAAAAGCCACACTTGTATTAAAGTTACAAATTAGTGCCATTTGGTTCAAAACTATTCAAACTTTCCTCCTAGGAAGCTATAAGAGCCATATTTTGCTCGGAAGAAATCTAAGGAGTTCACGACCTCTATTGCTATTTTTTTTTAGCAAAGTAATGAATTCCAACTCTTGAATTATTTTTGGGTATGGAAGGACTATAATAATATTTTCTACAATTGTTTTTAATTCTATGGTACAATTTTGCCTTTGGGCAATAGGTACACTATGCCAGGAGCCATAGGGCAATAGGTACACTATGCCAGGAGCCATAGGGCAATAGGTACACTATGCCATAGTTAAATTATCCCACAGAAGACTTACAAATGATCAGTTACTGCACGGATTTCAAAATAATTGTCAAGTACTCTCAAAAACAAACAAATTACAGCGATTATAAAATGTTTTACTTTGTCACAGAACTTTCCCTCTTGCTAAGCCCGTAATCAATACCCACATATATATGCTGAATAAAAAGAAGCACTTCCGAACACGCTATTCAGCAACTATCTTTACTAATTACATCAAGACTGATATTCCTGAGTACGTGCAAGTAAGTACCTTCATAAACAAGGCTTCAAGTCTTTAAAAACCATAATGTACTTTGAAGGTTTCTGATCAAAATGCATATGCTTAAAAAATTTAATGTATTTATTTCAAATTTATTTCATTTGTTACAAATGAATTTTTTTTATTCCTTCATTACATTAAAAACAAAAAAATGCCATATACGAATTTTCTAAATATTGTTTTTGAAGATTTACAAACATACTTTTTGTTTAATATCTATATTAATTAAGATAAATTAGAAAAAGATGTTTGACACTTTTTGTGATTCACAGGTACTGTCTTACAGCTCCCACTAAATTTATAATGCAACTTGCTATTTGTTTTATAAACACATAACATCCTTGAGTAAATAATTTACCATTACACACACTTTATGACATTATATAATTGATCCTGTGATGGTTCTCAGTATTTTAGTACTATCAGTCATGGTAAAAATTGGTGGCCAAAGATATATAAAACTTGTGCAATATTTATACAAAAAAAAATAGTAGGCAATTAGTATGAAAATGTTTTTAGGTAATAAACAATAATTTTCTTCAACAAAAACAGAACTTTTTAAATAACTAAAAACTACCTTATATTTTTCTGAAGCTAACAGACATAACATTTTTAGGTTTTAGGTAACTAAACAAAGTGAACAAATTTCGAAACTCAACATACGTGTACAATGTCAACATCTTCCGGTCCTGCTTCTGCAGGTTCAAGTTTCTTAACACCTGAACTTTTGGATGTAGTTCGCCTACTACGTGGCATGATCTCCTCAACCTCAGTAGCTCTAATGAACAAAAAAATACAACACCAATTACAATATATATATATATACATACATACAAGGAAGGTATATCTTTGTTTCTGTCTTGATTTTCATCACTGGATTTTAAAGAACATTAATAACATATAGCTGAAATGTGGGAATTGATGGAGCTAGATTTTCAAAACAGTACTAGACTAATTGTCTGCCTATATTATTAAGAATTCATTTCAGCATTGTGATTATTAATTCAGATGCTTCATAGGTTCTTTAGAGACTTTGATTCCTAATTACCTCTTAAATATGCAATGAATTCAATTACATTTAACATTTTATTTAAAATAATGATACAATTTTGAAGTATGTAAGTATTAAATTTGCTTGAATAATACTATAAAAATAATACTGTAATGTTATGAATACAAGTGTTTAAGATAGCTAAAGAAAGAACATCACAGTATTATTTAAATTAACAATTGTAAGAGACCAAATAATTTAAAATTAACAACTTTAACACTTTAAAAAATATATACATAAAATATGTAAGAAAAAACCTAAACAATATAAGTTTATGACTTAAATTTAAAATTTTCAATGTTTAAGAGAAAAATATTTGATAAAAAAAAAGATTAACTTTGAATTTAATTTCAACCACAATCATTTATAATGATAAAACTTCCTACGTTTTCAAGTATAATTTTTTATAGTCTAAAGAGTGTAATATACAATACGTATATTACAAATTTACTTAACAAGTTTTAGCTATCTATGCCGACAGATATTTGGTTAGAAACTTCCAGAACAGTTAGGGTAAAAATTCATTCGGTGTATAACCACTTTTTAGTATCTCTCAATTTAAATTTCAATCTACCTGTTATATTTTCCACTGTAAATGTTGACAATATATAAATCATAAAATGTGACATCTAAAACTCGGTTAAAGAATTCGTAAGAACTAACAAAGGTTTAATTTTGCAAAGTTATGTGCAAGTTTATTAATCTGAACCACCAGAGTAATACAAAGCCTTTAAATGTAATGACAATAGGATAAGTACTAACAAAGCTAAAATCTTGTAATCTTCAATATAATTAACACAGTACCATTTGTGGTAGAACTGCACTACGTAGTGGCAATGTTTTATTCATTGCAAAACAAGCTTCTACAAAACATCTGATTTTTATGATGAAATTTACTTGAATGGACAGCAGTTGCCATCTATTCAACTAAATTTCATCATGTCTAAACAATCTATCAAAGACTATCTTATTTTTATACTAACTGGAGTACCTATCCCCCCTAGACAGAAGTTATGTAAATTCATGATTAATGATAGGTTATCTTAAAACATGAAAAGTTGCTTCCCTTATATGTAATTGTAAACAATACCCCAAAAAATGCAAAACACAAAATGTGAAACTACAAGTTTGCATGGATCGAACAAACATTCATGCCAAACTTGGTGTAGATCCATCAAGAGGAAGCAAAGTAGAGGTAAAGAATGCAAAAACACCCATAAAAACTGCAAAATTGATGATTTGTATGTATCTCCCCATGAAACCAATGAACCTCCAAACCAAATTTGGTGAAGATCTATCCACAGGAGGTGAAGCAGTGATAAAAAATGCAAAAATGCCCATAAAAACTGCAAAATGCGAAACTGAAATTTTTTTATATACCCTCGCATTGACCTAATGAGCCTCCATACTAATTTTGGTGAAGATCCATCCTTATCCTGCAAAGTACTTACATGGACATACAACAGAGAGTACTATTATATTTATATAGATGTGATATTTGTATTAATTCACTGCTGTGAAAACTTACTACAGTGATACATTTATTTTACAAAACTTTTATCTTTGCTTTGATTTGAAACAAAAACTTTTCTACATTTCAAAAATTATATACAAGCCAATTTTTTTTTTATTACTAGTCAGACAGTTTCGTTTAATTCTCTATAAACAGGCTTCGTCCCTTTTGACCAACCTTACAACCACGAAACTATACACAATATAACTCTATGGCAGGACTCGACAAATCCCAGGTGCCAGGTTGCCATGGCACCTAGAATTTTCTCCCATTTTATTCATGTGTAGGTATGTGCTAACTAGAACTTGAGTCTAGAACAGTTCTGGACTCTTAGAAGTCTGGAATTATTTTCGCAATCGAGTCTGAAACTTTTGTTTCTAGGATTTTAATGGTGGATTCAGCATTTGTTCAAGAATGATGTGCTGTGGTTGCACAACATGTTAGTAATTTCGCACCGTTTTTCTTCTTTCTCTCAATTCAACCAATCAACATGCGTGTTAGAATCAGATGGCACCATAGGCAGTTAGTTCAGGCAATACTATTAAATTGTTCTTGATATCAAATAATCGTTAGCATGCATTCATTGCTGTGGAAGTAAATAAATATGGCCTCCATTTCCTGGTACAAACAGTAGTGAAGTTAGGTAAGACACACCAAAAGGCCTTTGCTTATCATTGTACAGTGTTGTAGTGATGAGTAGGTTAGACCTATTCTAAAACAACCTGCTTGGCCTAACAATATTGCAGTGATTATTTATATTTTACTTTCATTCATTGCAAGAGTCCACCTAAGTTATAGTTATTTAATCTATTATTTTGATAATTGCACATATTGAAGTTTAACTTTGGTATATAATAAAGTTTAATAATGTTTGTTTGTAATTAAGCACAGAGATACATAATAGGCTATCTGTGCTCTGTCCACCATGGGTACCAAAACCCAGTTTCTAGCACTGTAAGACCAAAGACATACCACTGTACCACATTTAATAATGAACCCTTTCACAGTGAGCTATTGGCTTTTACCACTAAAACAAAACAATCATCTGATTTATGTAGTTTGGAATTTGCTCTTTTAATTGGTTATAAATATGTCCAGTAGTAATGTCAGATGGAATTATAGAGATTTCTTAAAAGACATAGGACATTAATAAGATGTGACAATGTGTGCTGTAAAAATACAGAGGTCTGTGATAAGCAACACTGAACAGCCTGAACAAAACACAGGAGCCAATCCAGGTCTGAATGATCAAATAGGTGAGGCAGAAGGAAGGAAGAAAGATAACAGAGAAAGTATGGTCACCCTCTCAAATAGCCGAGGTTTTAGAAAGGAAAGACTGGTCCATAGAGAGGAGCATATAAGTACAGTGGAAGATGGAGAAAGAATTATCCAAAGCACAAACACAACAGTAATCACAGGCGAAGAGGAGGAGGAAACAAGTCTGGAGAGAAAAATATTACAAAAAGCAAGAAGCCAACTGCTCAAACAGGGCACGCAAGAGAGTGTGCAAAACTCCATTAAGGTTCCAGTTAGACGAGGAGGTCAGAGAAGAACGAATGAGTATAAAAGAGTGGAGAAGACAGGTGAAGAAACACTCTGTGGCACCAGGAAAGACAAAATACCATGGACAAGGCCACCAAATAACCAGCAACAAAGGTAGAGACCGACAAATTATGGACGAATATCCAGGGAAAAAAAAGCAGAAAGGTAGTTCGCAGTATGATGGCCAGGAGTAAGGGAGTGATGGATGGACCAATAAAAAAAACTGTCACTGTCATTGATAGACAAACACAGTAAAAGGGCAACAGGAATATGACAAGAAGAAGAATTCCACATGATCGGCAGGTCTGGACGGATAGTTCATGGACCAGAGAAATCCCAACATGAAGATGGAAAGAAGATACCCCTCGATAAAAAAAGGGGCATGTGAGAGTGAAGCAAAATAGAGAGGTTACTGGGTAGAGGTAAGGAGGTTAAGTGAAGAAGCAGAGGAAGCTAATGCACAGTTGAACCAAGTACCATCACCAACAGGACCCAATAAGGAGTGTCACACATCAAGGTGAGGATCCAATGGAGGAGAAGAAGAAGAAGAAGGGGATAGGCATATAGAAAGAGGCGGGTTCAGGCCTGGCTGAGAGCATTAACAACCATTGGACCAGAAGAGAGGAACCCAGAGTAAAGAAGGGTGGAAAAGGCATATCCAACTGAAAGCAAACCCAATGAAAGATCTGGAGGTGTAGAGGCCACTCCGTTCGTAATTTGCAAACTGGCTGAGAGAGGCGGTCTATACCATCAGGATTTTAGCTCTTGGCAAATTACAGGCAACAAGACAAGTCCTATGCAAATGGGCCCAGAAGAGTATGTCAAACACTCAAAAGAATGACCCTGGAACAGGTGTCTCCTAGATGGTTGGTGTAAGACACAAGCATGGAAATGATGGAGTGGATCATGACCATCTTATCCACCAGTAGCGGCAGAAATGGGAACATGACCAATGAATAGCAAGAAGTTTGAGCATGTTGATTTGGAGTGAATGCTCATCCTGCATCCAAATGCCAGAAGTCAACTCTAAATTCAGATATGTGTTATAATCAGGGAGGAAAGCTTCGTGGAAGAGACAGATCTAGTTTAGGAGTTGGTTAAAGAATTTTGAAAGTAGTATGGGTATGGTCCAGTTACCATGACAATACCTCGAAGAGAAGAGAGGTTCACAAATGGGGACAATGGACCTAAGAAACAAACCCTTGAATCTGCAAGGTCCACTGGAGGAGGCACATGTGTGCATATCCCAAAGGAATGAGAGGTTCCAGGAAAGCCAGAGTCCCCAAAAGCAAAAGAACCTCTCACATAGGAAAAGATGTGAAATGCTATTCCTGGTGACCAGATACACCATAGCTCGCAGGCAAAGAGAAGAAGGCTGAGATCCAGAAGTATCAAATACTGAGTGGACATGACGAAAGACAGATCTCACGACAAGCTCCCCCAACCAAGTAGCCTCCTATAAAAGAAGGAAAGTGTGAGAAGAGGCTATTATCCGTTAATTCACCAATAGAAAATAAATGTCCAAGAAATGGAATGCCAGCCCTGGGCCATGAATATGATGAGTGAAGGCCTTCGTGGTACCAACGAATATAAAAGGGGCAAACACTACGTTAAAGAGAAAAACAAGGAATGGGAAGAAATGAAAATTGATGGACAGAACAGAAAAACATGTGAAGGATAGATCAAGAGTGGTGTGTAGGAAGATGTCCAACACAGCTATCATGGTCAACCAAAGACAAAGTGAAAAAGACTATAGGTGGGGTTGGAGAGAGTCCAAGTTGGAGAAATGAAAAATGACTGTGGTCAGAAAATGAGACCATCAGCAGGAAAAAGAGAAAGAGACAGGTATCCAAAAGGTCAGGCATGATATCATAGTCATTGATAAGAAGAGTGATGAAGTAGACATCTAGCAGAGGAAGGATGAGAAAAAGAGAAAGGCCTGGAATCTCAAATAGACTGATCCAGACAAGGCATGGGAGTGTGTTTGATTTCTTATAGCAAAGCCACACAGAGAGGAACCAAATCCCTGACTTTAGCATTGTAAATCTGAAGACTTACAACTGTTCCACCAGGGAATGGTATGGGAGTAATGGACAAGGTCAAGAAATAAGAAAAACCTGGAAAAATAATGAGGACTGAAGTCGTATAACATCAGTCAAAGTCTCCAGTGAGAAATGAACATCACCAAAGACATTTAGATGAAGAAAGGGTGCTCAACAAAGACAATGTACACAAGAAGGAGGACAGTAAAGAGGAATGTAACCCAACCCAACAAATTCCAACATTGGTAGAACAAAGTAAGGAGGGCCAGAGAAGAAGTGGTACAGGCTAAGCTGGCAAAGAAAAGGGAATGAACCTCTACAGAGAAATCCTCTGGGGCACAAGTCACAGACAAAAGGTGGAAGTAGGAGATAGAATTACGGAAGGTAGTGAGAAAAGGATGAAAATGAAACCACAGAGCAAAATAGAAGGCAAGGCGCCCAATACCAAAGCAGACCAAATAGATACCAAGAACAGGAATTGAGAAAGGAAAAAGAATGTCTAGAAAGTAAAGGTCATTCCACAAATGGTAAGGCACTACCCATAGCAAATCAGGTTAAATTTGTAGTCCAACAGATCATTCCCAACTGAAGAGAAAGAACTTGGCCAATGGGACAAGAGTAGGAGGCACAGTAAGCATGTGGTAATCCACAACATATTGAACAATGGCTACAAAATCCTCAAGAGTTATCAAGCATTCAGAAGCCAGAGTAAAGTGTGTGTGCACAATATTGTCACTCACACCTGATTAAGTATATGTCACCATCATTTGAGAATCATGATAAAAAAAAAAATTAAAGCATTTGAAGCAAAAGCCAACGAAAACTAAAAACAAAGTTTCATTAACAAATGCAAATCTCATCAAATTGATCTCAGACAAGACATTTTGCACACACCTGTTCAATAAAATACCAAAGAGAAGAATGAAATTATCATGGGTGCAAGCACATAGAGGGAGTTGCTGCACATGAAGGTTGTGTTGCCCTCCTATTAGTGAAGTGCCTTTGTTGCATAATGACATCATCAGCCCCAGCAGAGTTCACATTAAAACACATGAAAAATAAGGTGGGAGTTGGTTCAAGGCTTGTGGCATGTAAGTCTCATAGGCAGACGTGCAAGGAAAATAGCTATTTTGTATGTGGAGGCGAGTTATCATCTCAGAAACTTAGCATTCTTTCTTGGCAACAAGCTTCTTTGTTCTTTGACTCTATCTACTTTACGATTATCATATCTAATCAATGTCACAGTTATCTCACACTTGAATGGCCTTAGTCTAGAATTACAAAAAAGTATGGGTATTTCTTATCAGATGTTTGGTCCTGTCAACTGTCTTAATAGAAGTATAACTTGTCCTTTCCACATTTTAAAACTGTGCCTTCCCATCCCATTATCTTCAGAACATAGCACAAAAAATTATAGGCCTTTATCCTATCAATCTCTCACAATCTTTTAAGCTTCTATAAAATCACATCATTTCTCAAAATAAGTATAAGTATAATAACCCTTCCATCCCTGAGATTATAATAGTGGTCCTATTATGAGTCCTATAATTCAAAATCAAATCTACATATGGAAATGTTCTGATTTATTTCAGATCCAGATCTAAACCTTGTACTTGGATTGGGTAAATCCATAGAGCAATACACTAACAGATAGCTTAGATCTCCAACTTTCAGTCTACCAGTATAGCTAAAACCTATATCTATGTCTTTTCAGTGACCTTAGAACACCTGTGTTGTTTCATTGCTTTGTTAGTCTAGGTCTAGATACCGTATGAACAAATAATAAGCAGATCCCCAAAACTATAACAACGACCAATGGCCAAAATAGGCTATTAACACAGTATTTCCCTGTAGACTGCATCAACCTTCTGAATATGCCCGGAATGGAATCAGCCAAGTACTATATAAGTTAATGGATATTCAATATGCCAGTGGCCTTTTGACCTGAGAAAGTTAACCACGTCTAGAACATTGTATGTAGCACCTGTTGTAAAAGTTTCATCAATATCCATATACGCTGTATTGACATACATCTACAAGGTTGGGAAAGTTTTCCTATGTACCACTGATTCTTTCACCCACAACCTTCAAAAGTTAATCAGATCTAGTTCTCCCAATTTCATGTAGCACCTGTACACAAGATTGGAGTGGATTTTCTAATCACCAGTTACCTTGGCATTCAAAACTTTATCAGTTCTAGAACTGTTTTTTAGTACTTGTTGTATAAGTTTTAACAATATCCATTCACTCTGTATTAAAATATTGTCCACAAGGTTGAGGGAGATTTTCTATGTACCAGTGAGCTTCTGACCTACAAGTTTTGATCAAAACTCATCCATCTGATCTAGAGTTATCTTTTTCAAGACTAGGATGGATGGACAGGTGCAAACCAATATGGCTCACTCTGAGATACTTCGCAATGGAGACATAATAAACCTGTCATATGCAATGGTTTCAGGTTATCAAATCATAAGTTCATGGTACAAAAAGATAAATTCCTAATTTGTATTCCAAATACAATCTCCTTATTCAGGCCAGATATGAGATGCCTCGTGCAGTTTTTTTTCACGTAAACTGGGCAAATCTTTTTACATTCCTGGTATGAATATGAGGCACATTTGGCAGTAGGCATGTGCTAATAGCACACCCTGTATATAGATGTAAAATGATATATTTAAATTCAGGGGACAAAATATCTGGGTTCACATCGCCATTTGTGAATCAAAACAACCCCAGTTGCAAATAACTTTCCTTTCTCTTGTATGTTGTCTTCGGGACTTCCAACAACACAGTGAAAGTGCTGAACGCTTCAGTTTGATATATCAAATGTTCTTCTTAATTGGGATTCAGTCCAAGTTTTGGATCAGAGAGGGTCAGGTTCAGCAGTGCCCTCTCCCTTTCAGAAATTATTTTGTTTGCACTGTTACTGAATCCTATGTAATAACCTTTGTTACATTGTTGCAAAACTCACAGTGTATTAAATTCTGTCCACAGTTTTAATTAACAAAGTTGATATTCATTTCCCAAAAATACCTGCCAAGTGACACACACAGTATTTTCACACTTTGTCCTGCACATATTGCATATACATGCACTTTGTAGTAGCCTGTATCGTGATGTATGGAATGTGACCAGTCGGCGCACACAGCTTAGTCAACTAGACTACATATTTACAGTACATTTAGCCAGTTACTAGTTCTCTCATTACAGGCTCAGTCCCTTTTACTACTTGTGTAAAGTTTTAATACCATAACTTTTAATACAGTATGTGCACCTTAACAAAATTTGGCAAACTTTTAGTAAACATTACAAATCGTTTGTACACAAAATATGTTTTTTAATGAAGTGTTCTTACTAAAGATTTGTCAGAGAATATATCGAGTTTTTATCATTAAAAGTCAGAGTGAAAAATGATTTTCATGCTGAGAATAGAAATAATTTTATTCAGCTCAAATGTCATTTGTGTAATCTCTAAAACCTCCTAAATACACTGGAAACATTTTTTTCAGTAAAACTATATACGTTATCATTATCACTTTTACTTTCTCCAAACTAATGCTAGACAAGGTTGGTCAATTTGAAAGTATGATTTACAGGTATGACTTTAAATTGTCATTCAGTAATTAGAAACTACATAACTGAACTTGCAGTGTAAATCTACTAATCTGTGACTGTGGGGTCCAATGGTGTGTGATTTTCTTTTTTCATTATGTAAAAATCACTGAAACCCCCCTACTATCAGCCATGGTGAAATGATAAATTGACAGCTGACTGTTTATATTGACACTGTCAATGACAGTAATGGTTAGAATGGTAAAATAGTGATACTAATCTAAAAAATACTTTTTAACAGTACCAATCAAGCAAAAGAATTGTTGTTTTTTAGCAAGATAAAATATCACTAATCAATTCGAAATTTATTCTCACGTGTTTATGATAATTGGTGCCCATACACTATTTACATATTACAGTTACGCTGTTGCACATACATCTAGTACAGTTTTAAATTTATATAACTTTATAAGTAACACTAAAACAGTATTAAATCTTTCAGTTTTAACTGAATTCTAGGACTTGCCTCTTTAAATTTAAACTATATTTCGTTTCTATGAGCATAAAACATTTTGAAACAAGATTACCTAACTTTAATAGTTAAGATACCGAGTGAAAAACATATTGAGCTTCCAAACATCATACGTTACTATGTATTATTGTATACTTTACATATACATACTCTTGTATATTAGGCCTAAAATTCCTAAAAAATGGCGCGTAAGACTAACGCTACGTTCGTCGTTAGGCTTAATAGTACCACTAGCTACCCTTTGTTATTGAATATGTCGTTTATCTCAAACATCAATAATTTTACTATTTGTGCTTTACAAACAAATAAAGCAGTTAAATTAAATATAAAAGCTACAATATTTTGAAACTTTAATGGTAATAATCAATTTTTATATAAGAAATACATTAAGCCTAACATAACTTTCTTACCTAGTTCACTATTCACACACAAACGCATTAGACTAAAAGCACCCTCTGTAAATTACCGAAATCTCGAGGTTCCATGAACCAGTGATAATTTTTAAATGTATTAAGTACATATACGTTTCAATCATATATGAGATTTAGAGTATATAGATTTTTCATGTGTGTGTGTTTTCTTATAGCAAAGCCACATCGACCTATCTGCTGTGTCCACCGATGGGAATCGAACCCCTGATTTTAGCGGGACTAGATTTTTTGATTAGTTCAAGGAATGAACTGCCGTCAACAGTAGAAGAAGCTGATAATGTCTTTTTAGTTGAAGAGAAAAATCGAGGATTTCTGAAAGTAAACGGTCTCTTGCTGTACGTAGGTTGTGTTATGTCCTGTAACTAACATAGCCATACAATGGTAAATACAATACAATACAATTATTGTTGTTTAAAACAATTAAGTCTATTGATTGAGAGGTTTATTTGTTACGAATTTCGCGCAAAGCTACACGAGGGCTATCTGCGCTAGCCGTCCCTAATTTAGCAGTGTAAGACTAGGTAGAAGGCTAGATGACTATAAGGCCACCACCAACTCCGTCACATATAACGCTCCCACAGCTGAAAGGGCGAGTAAGTTTGGGATTCAAACCCGCGACCTGCAGATTGCAAGTCGAGCGCCCTAACCACCTGGCCATGCCGGACCATTAATTGAGAGAAAGATCATATTATAAGAACCTAAGCATTTCAATTCATTATTGTTTCACAAACATGTATGTAGGTACGATTATAAATCTCTTTGTACACGTTTGATATGGGTGTGTGTTTTCTTATAGGAAAGCCACATCGGGCTATCTGCTGTGTTCACCTGATTTTAGCGTTATAAATTCGAAGGCCACCGGGGGACCATTTGATATTGAACTTTGTTATATGTCACAAAGAGTTTTAATTGCTCAGTGATCATAACTGTGAAAATTATAAATATATACAGTAATGAGGTAATATTTGGATATATATGAATATTTCGTAGAAATGATATGTATTAGTTAGTTGCATTTCCAAACCAGAACCTTTAATTAACAAAAAATAAAAAGATACAAAAAGAGTACAACCTCAATACTAACTTTATTACATAAAATGTTGTGATTATTGTAATTTATCACCTTTTCAGAATTATGTAAATTAGCTAGTTGCTGTTAGGTAAGATTCTTGTTTTACTCAAAAACATTATATACTGTTGCGTCAGCAAGATCACGTGACTATTCTCACACCCTCTGCTTTC